CCACACACCGTTAAAGAGATGAACCAAACTCGTGCCCTTGTGTCAAATGTAACGGCTCCGAGTTAATGGCTACAAAATAGCCACAGGACTGGAGATTGTCACAAAGATCGATAAAGCTAGGTACCATAACATGAGAGTGAGATCACGGGCTGGTCAGTAATTAACTGTTTATTGCGTTCATCTTGTCAGATATCTGAAAATGGACCTAATAATCAAAATGATAGCCTAGACCAATCAATTATTGCTCTCAGATGTCAAATTTTCAAATAAAGCGGGCGAAGTCGTTGCCTTTTTTGTAAGAACCAAACGGCAGCCTAGGAAAAATACATGTTTTTTTACGAGTAGTTTCTATAAAAACTTGGATCTGCGTTCACTAAAAACAAGCGGTTATGGTGAACTACCGTTTAAAATCAAATCCCCTGAAACGTTCATTAAAAAGGAAAGAAATCAGAAAGATGGACCAAAACGAAAATTTAAAAATTGCTCAATACTAATAACAAAAGCAGACGAAAGTGTTACAAAGTAACCTAACTAACCCGTTGATCCGGTGAAAACTTTGGGAGCGGCTGTCAAGACAATTAAGACTATTCTAAGCTACATTAAAAACGTTTAAGGATTAAGTTCTCGCCATTCAAACGTAGTAATTTTAGCCACATGTCGGCAACTCGCTGGAAAGCTTGAAGGATGAGATGTATTCAAATGTAAGATCCGTTGGGCCAAACCTCCCCTAGCTCGTGTGTCAAGCCAAAAAGGCCGGAGCTGCTGGAAGTTCAATGGTACTAGCCCATTCCTTTTTATGTCATAGATTTAGAGGTATTGCAATATAAATAATGAAAATCCAATCACCTACTGACGGATGACCTTAAAATTCTACGCTAGGCAGAAAAATGTCTCAGTCTAAAAGTCCTGACTGAGGTTGATGTAAAGACACGTTAATGTGATGCTGCAGAAACTGCATAGGGAACACAAATCCTGATAAGCAACAGTGAAATAAACATGCAAATAGGTTAGTGAACCACATCAGTTGACGAGATAACATAATGCATTCATTCTTCTCTCCATGTCTTGGACAGCAACTGGATAGTCCGACACCCTCAAAACCTTGTTTAGAGAATGCCGCTTAGAAGCAAAATAATCTTATTCAAAAACATCTCCAGAACTAATTATAACGATAATAATTTTCAGGTGACATTCCGAAGGAAAAGGAGGGGTGCGACGGTGAAACCCCCTCTTTGGACATTTACAGAACTCTTCAAAGAAATTTTTTACACTATTCAAGCAAATTTTCTGCATGTGGTTCTGTAATAGAGGAAATCGGTATGAATTACAGACAACTACAGTGAAGTTGCCATTTTTAAAAAGCGACCTGACTAAGCAAGCAGACTCACTTTGCAACCCGCAGGCCACAAAAAGGCAATGAATGTTCAGCCCTATCACCCCCAATCATAGAAGACTATGTGCAGAGCTCGTTGAAAATATTGGGACGTACCGGATCGGCCTGACCGGGAGAGAAGCGGTATCGTCCACATGCTCTACTAAAACGTTCTAGTGGGGTGGCCAGAACTATGCTTTGTCACAAATATTACTACGCAGCTGGTTTCATTAAGTCGCACGGCACGTAGCGGGCAGCAGCGTGCGGCACTAATGCACAAGAAGAACTCTCATTTCGTGCTATTAATATATATGTACTGGTGAAAAGAAAGATCTTCGGAAAATCGAGTTGTACTGGTGTTGTTACAGAGGAAAAATGTATTGTAACTTGAAGAGTTGCCTTCATTAATACTTATCAATTGAATTGGAGCCTGTATACTACGGTTAAGTCAGCGGGCAAGCTTCTTTTATAACCGTTCCATGCTACGGCTCTTTGCCCGCTAAACAGTCGTTTCCATCAACCCTTTGGCTAGCATACACCCCCTGACCAAGGATACGGCCGCTGACCAGAGAACTAAGCATCCACTTAAGCGGCCAAAACAGCACGTCTCGTGTGAATGGATCGTTAATTATAGCTGATAACGCCTGTTGCACGCTCTAACGTTATAGGAAGACTGTGTAGGAGGTGAGAGGGGTAGGAGACCCTTACACCATACGCGCCCGTTCGGCGCGTACGTTTGCGTAGGGACACAGAATGGTTAACAAGAGCGTCTTCCGACCTTAATAGGGCTAAACTCTGGTGAGCTCTAGAGATTTACCAACAGGGTTTAGCAAATTTGGGTTAATTAACTCAAATAACTAGACTGTACGCATATTTTAAGTTTATGTGATACATTTCATTAGGTTAGCGAAGTGCTGTTAAAACATTTAAAAGATAAACATTTGCTTCCTTTTCAAGAGGTAAGCAACCAACCTATAACACTAACACGCGAGAAAATGGCATCAACTCCGTGTAGGTCGGTTGTTTACGGCAGTCGCAACCAAGGGACCACCAATGGTATGCAATTTGCAAACGTTCAAACAACTTAAGGTATGTGAGACACAAATATTATTTTCGCAGTTAAGAAGGCATTGTAGTTAATCACTAACACAGGTCATTTCGAATCAACCACTTGGCCCCACAAGAGTTCTCAGCTAAACTTTAATTTAGTTCAAATCCTCACTTGGCATGTCGACATTAAATGCAATTGCTACTAATGGAATTAAATGGTTAACTACTATGCTGTTAGTTTCATTAAATATCGAGTGGACAGTCGTACCATTCAAATCTGCGTCAACGGAGAAAATCAAACAACAATTAACTCAATCACCATGTCATACGGAAAAAAGCGGCTCTGCAGAAATCTAGAGACAGGCCTTTAGCAGCCCTGGATCAGCGCCTGACTGCTGATTCACTTTTTTATTCGCTGCAGGCTTCGTGAGAATTTCGCCTTTCGCGGCTTGTTTGCACGCGATCACGGTTAAATCGTTGCAGCACCCCGCGTGACTCATCATGTTTACGGCGCTAAGCCTTGGAGCCCTGAAAGCTCACAATCTACCCTAGGCTCTTGTTCGATCTACCGTCAATCAATTGGGTTGCCTGCAACCCCGCGCAAAGGAACAGAACACACAGAAAACAACTGGCTTCTTAACTGTGATAAGCTCGTTTCTACAGAGCCTTTTGTTAGCTCCTGTTCGTACAGAATACTTTCCAATCTTATTGGTCTTACTGACTTAGGACTTGAGGAAACATCTGTAGTCAACGATCACTCCTTTCGACAGGTCCTTCAAAAGTTCTTCTTGATAATCATCATTTACTTGCAAACTTTCAGTAGGTCAAATTTCTGTATATTCAAGCATTTCCTTTACTTAGGTAACGAATATGTGTTGTCAAATATTGTTATTAGTCAATAGGCATCTTTGACCGAACCAACAGGAGTTTATATTGGTCGATTTTATTCCCTCCTGGTCTTTTTATATATACAGTAAGCTCACTAAAACAATATCAATCACTAAAAGAAAGCCATTCATATCAACTAACTAGGTCCGAAAATTGCCTAGTTGAAATCTCATTTAGGTAAACTAACCAACTAGCTACACAAACTCCGCAGCTTAGATCTGATCCATACACAGCATACTTTCCACCAGTCACTCAATTCCATTTTTATCACATAAATCCATCAAAATATTTCAGGAAACCATTTTCAACACAGATATTCTTTCCCATATCAAAAGTTCTAAACATTGATGTAATTAATGCAAAATCTGTATCTACTATTAAGTGTCCCAATAAATACTTGATGTATCCTTCTTTAAATAAGGAATGCGTCTGAACACATGTTAAGGTGCACTTTCTGGAAAACGAAAAATAGGGGCACACAAACCGCTCCATCTGGAAGCCAACGTACTTTGTAAATGATGTCGACAATAGAGCACTTCTGAGAATGCTGCCTAGGTTTCTATTTCAAACTACCAATTGGATTGTATGTGTAAGATAACACGTAACGCTAGGTGGGGAAGTTGCGACTTATTTACAAATAGCTACAGATAACCTAATGACAGAAAACAAAATGAAGAAATGGTGGTATAGACGCGCGAAAGTGAAACTCTCTGTTAGTATGTGCAATCCGTTTCGGGGAATGATTTGCAAGTTTTTGCAGCAGGAATGCGATGAAGACATGCAAACAGACGGCCGATATTGACTAGAAGTAGCTGAGGCAAACGCACTGGCGATAATGATTAGTGAGGCCAAGGCGACATTGGGAAACCAAGGTCCTTCTGTCTTACGGGCACCTGGTAATAGGGGCTTATAGGTGTGGGGGCAGTACCAGACAAGCTGTAGACGGCGATAACGGGAAATAATAAAAGGAATAAGAGCAAAAAATGAACGTTTGTTTTAATAAGAAGATAAGGAAGGCCGACGTGTAAAGGGAGAAAAATATAAGAGCAAAGTTAACGCTATAGTGACAAAAAGTTAACCGGGAAGCATGCTATTGGTGCAAGCTATCAGAATAACTGAATATTGAAGTCCAAGGAAGCGGCAAACTGATTGTGCGTGAGTGGCAATCAATGAGAGGTAGGTAAGATTGCAAACGGGTAGCATTAAATGTGCGCGTAGTATAAATCGTTTTGGC